TTACACCACTGGAGTTTACCATACTAAATAATATGTAACAGGTAAGAGACAGCATGTATTCAGGAGACAGTTGCAAAAAATGCACAGGGCTCATCTTTATTGTTGCATCTCTCCAAGAATGAAGAAATACAAATACATGGGTATTTACATTTTAAGACATGTTCACATCATATAAAAGACATGTGGAAATATATGTATACATTAACCTGCAATAGGTTTAAAAAACAAAAATAAAATAGGGAAGCAGTAAGTTAATATGAGAAACTTGGCTATCCATCAAAAAACACAGATTGTACCTGTACTGCTGGTCATGTAGAGAGATCTGCTGGTTTTTGGACTGTCTGCTCTGAGCCACTAGAGAGAGAGAGAGAACTGCATTTGTGGATCTTATGGTTTTATTATTTGCTTATTTTTCTCTTCAATTATGATTCTGAAAGTCAGTTTGGAGCACATATGTGTGTATTTGTCTCTTGCATCCAAGCAATAGCTTACTCTGGTTATATCAACATATTGTATCCTGCCAGTTTGACTTTGCTTAATGGTTTATTTATTTTTCTGGTTCTCGCTCTCTTTCTCTCTCTCATTTTTTCCCCACATAAATCTCACTTTAACAGTGCTCTGATTACGGCAAGGGATTCTGGATAGGAATATGCAAATGAGCTGAACAAAGATTTTTGTCTCATTCCACTTCATACATGGATTCCTTGGAGTATGTGTCTGCTGTATACAACAGCTTTGAAACACAACTTAGGAAGAGGAGCAAAGCCAGTGAACCACCATGGACAGCTGTTTTGTTGTTAATGCAACTCATCAGCATAAGGTTGGTTACTGGCTTGCTATGGAGGCTTGGCGTAACTTGTATACCAAGAGAGTTGTGGTGGGGAAAAAAGTGTGGATGAAAACCCCTTCCACCTGAAGTAAGTGGATAGTTAATACATTGCTAAACACAAATACACTCACCAGTCAAGCCATAAGACTTGCTTTCCCCCACAGAAATGTCACTTTAACAGTGCTCTCATTGTGTTTCAAAGCTGTTGTATACAGCAACAGCAAAATTCCTTGCAGTAGTGAGAGCACTGTTAAAGTGAGATTTATGTGGGAAAAGCAATTCTTATGGCTAGACTGGTGTGTGTATTTGTGTTTAGCAATGCATTAACTATCTACTTATTTCAGGTGGAAGGGGTTATCTTCCACACTTTTTTCCCCACCACAACTCGCTTGGTATGTAATAAAAAAACATATATATTCAGAGGCTATGCTGCTTTTCCAGATAATGGGTATAAGTTAGCATATTCTTTACTACACTTAGCTTGATGGTATTTTATTTTATTTTTTACTTAGGCCCAAAAGGTAAACAGTAGTTGTGGTTGGGCAGCTACACTACAGAACTGTACTAAGGATTTGTCTAAATAAGGTGACCTTTGAAAGAGTGCAAGTATGTCCGTATAAAAAAATTGAAATGCGACAAAGGTCCATCCACACAAGATATTGGAGAACTCCTGTGGAGATCGCAAACTGCCTCATGGGACAAAAAGGTGATTGGGGCACGTGAGCTCTTCCTATTCCTTGGAGTAAACCCCTTTCGATCGGGGTGCTGGTATTTCGTACGACCTTCTGACTGGTCCCAAACCCAAGCAACCCACTGCTGACGAGCTAGTCACCATAATCCAGTTAAAGGCCAGGCTAGCATAACTGATAGCCAACATTGCGGCCAAAATGGCCTTCTTTAAGGATGCCATCGAAGGCGTCACCTCTCACATTGCCCTGCTGGAGAACTCATCGAGTACACACGACTCAAGATTGACACCAGTGGAACACAAAGTCCAGGAACTAGCAAAGCACCAAATGGCAACCACTGACAGGTTAGATGCCTTAGAAGATCAACAAAGGAGTTACAACTTAAAAATTTGGTGCATACCAGACTATGTGAGTATCTTCAATTTACCCCACATTGTCTAACAACTGATAAACCTCCTGTGGCCATCAAAAAAAGCCAAGGCGGTGAAGCAAGGCATGTTTTGCCTGCCAAGCCAGCAACTGCACCATCAGCGCTTATGCTGTCCGAATAGTCTGCTTCCATTCCCTACAAGACAAGGCCTTCTTATGGCTGAGGCCTGTGGGAAGACCCCCTTGCTATTTGAGGGCTTCATACTCGCCCTGTTTCCAGACCTCATTAGAAGCACCATCGGGTGGCGCAGAACCTTGCAACCACTCCTACAGCTACTCCGTTCTAGGGACATGCAATACAGGTGGGGACCATTGCTATTTACTCACCTGGGCAACTATTATAGAGTGTGAAGCTTCTCGGAACTGGGCCTAGTGGAGCCTTTGAGGGCAGAAGGAACAAGCCTTTCAGTCTTAGACCCATCCGCTGTAACGGAGTTCATATCCCCAGCATCTCTGCGTCTAATGCTTCCACACCCTAAAACCTGAACGGTTGTAACCTGAAGAAATAAGAACTGTCCAACTTCCACCCAGGGCTGATGTTTTTATGTTCATTTTCTTCATTAATTTTCTGTTTGTTCTTTGCATATATCGCTTGGAAATAGCACTGTAATTTTAAAGATTATTGCACTAATTATATGGCTGTTGCACTACAATTTTGGCGTATGTTTGTCTCAAACATTCCCCCACCCCCCGGTCACCTACAAGTGTCGGAAAGGGTGATGCCCCACGGGGATCTACTGTTCTTAAGTGACAACCCAAGGTGTTACCATGCTTAAACTACTAGTAAGCCATTATTTATTTTTCACTTATGTCCCACTTTTAACGCCCGTAAATCCAATATAACAATATGTTGATACTATAATTTTTTCTGTTTTTTTTTCAACTTAACATATCTATTGCTGGTATACTCACATGTGAAAATTAAAAACGAAACAAAAAAAATAACGAAGTGGAGCTTGCCTTAATCCCCATCCTTTGTCAATGTTATCAAGTGTAGGAACAATATATAAAACAAAGTAGACCCTACCTTGTCTGTCTTGAGTTCTAACGAGAAATAGATTGGAAATTAAAGGGACACTCCAGGCACCCAGACCACTTCTGCCCATTGGAGTGGTCTAGGTGCCAACTCCCATTACTCTTAACCTTGTAACTGTAATTATTGCAGTTTTTTATAAACTGCAATAATTACATTGCAGGGTTAACTCCACCTCTAGTGGCTGTCTACTAGACAGCCACTAGAGGGCACTTCCTTGTCCACAGCACAAGGAAGCGTGTGCTGGAGCGTCGCTGGACGTCCTCACGCTGTGTGAGGACCTCCAGCGTCGCTCATTTTCCCATAGAAAAGCATTGAAAAGCATTTTCAATGCTTTCCTATGGGGCGCGCTAATGCGCATGCGCATTTTTCACCCCTTCAGCAACCGGGAATTGGGGGGTGGGAGGGAGAGGGGACCTGCAGTTCCAGGAAAACAGATTGTTTTCCTGGCACTGGAGTTTCCCTTTAAGAAAATAAAGAAACAATAGGAGAAGGGTGAATTTGTGTTAAATGTTTTTTTTTTTGTTTTTTTTTTGATAGAGTAAAAACAAACATATTGCAAACTGGTATGAGAGGCACACGGTCATCTACGCAGAGGCATATTGGTTAAAGTAGTTAAACACAAAAGATTGCAGAACAATGCTTACATAGTGAACAATTTGTAACACAATATCTAGAATGCATGTGATGACAGCGGGACGTTTGATAGTTCTATTTTGGCGATTATTTAGAGGATCAAAAACTAATAAAATTCAAAATGAAAACTGAAACTGAAGCTTTGCATGAAAGCATATCAGTGTCTAGTATATCAAAGAAAAGCCAAACTAGAAAAAGGAAATCTGCTCTCCTGAGCGCCCATTAGATGCATTGTTAGGCGTTGGGCTTGTCACGTATGCTTCGTATACATTTGGCAAAAACTGAGATAATTACTGTCTAAAAATCGAGGGGAGTCCCGCTCGGCGGTCTTCTGCCATGATGCCTGGTTTGTGCGGCATGTTGGTGCACACTGGCCTCTGCGAACCCACGCAATTATATAGCCCCACGTCCGTCCACGGTAAAGACTAGGTCAACATGCGAGTGACATAATGCAATAGGCTAGGTACTGCCAATCGGATCTGCAAGAGGGTTATTTAAACTCACTTACTCCTTAGCTCATCCTTAGTTCTAGGGTGTGATACTATTCTGCGTGCTGGATCAATGTAATCCTGACATTACAACATGGCTACTTGGAACATATGCAGTTTGTGTCAAAATGAAATCCGCATTTGATGTCAGGGTTTGGTTATGTATATACAGTGCCACACACAATGGTGCATTGCTCCCGTAACAGTTGTCTAATATAGCCTAGGTGACAATATTGGTATGTACTGGCATGGAAGAAGACTACAACCAATCCTGAAAGCGTAGTGTATCTTTCTCTCTCTAGTTTGCGTCTAATGAATAATTATATATTGCTGTGTTATGTAGGCGTCTTTATGAGACTGCTAACATATAGGTTCTTTAGTATACCATGTGTTAGTGCAACCTGATGCGAACATTGACAAACAGAGTAAGCATATTTTAATAATAGAATACATGCCAGGGAGAACAGTAGCATGGTAATCAGTAAAGCTATGCAGCCTGCTATCTTACATGCAGGGTTTAAACATTAGGATACCAGGGGTTAGTAACCCTTGGAACACAAGTAGTTAAGCAGTGTGAGCAAACTGTGATGTAATGTAATTACTGCAGACAGTGGTGAAAAACATAGGATTGAGTCATTTCCGGGAGGATAGGAACATACTATGCAATATCGCTGCACAATGTGGTTTGAGGAAAGCAGTATCAGTTGTATTATGAGAGAGCTGTTCCCATGTTTGCTTTTGTAGGCCCACCAGGATGCCCGTCCACCACGGGTCGGACCCAACCCTCCAGCATAGAGTTCTGTGGCACCGTGGGCACTCAAAGTCCAAATCAGTCCACCGGACCCCCCCACCAAGAGTCTGTGCACTGACCGTCTCCTGCACCTCCCCAGCACCACTTAACCCTCATGCCTCACCCAGTGCCGGCCACATACTTGGGACTGGGGCACTTCCCACATGGCCACTGGTACACCGGAAAGGTCTGTGTATTCCTGTCCCACATGACTCACTGCGTCGGGGACAATCTTCTCTGGGCCCCCCTCAAACCCAAAAGCAGGGACCGTTACTTCTCCAGGGGGTAGGCTGCCCAGGGGATCCCTCCGCAGGACTGCAGCTGCTAGGGTCATCAGAGCAGCGTAAGAAAGCTTCTCTGTGAAAGTAAATTTTCCCTTTCGTACCAGCATTCCCATGTAATCATGAACTCTTGCAGCTGTTTTATTAATAGGGAGGGAGGACACCAGCAGAGCAAAACTCCCATCCCAGTGGCCACCCAGGGTGTTGCCGAAGGACGGACTCATGGGCCGAGATATCCCCCATGGGCTTGGTGGGGGATGCGGGGCCGGGCCCCCCGTCATTGTATGCGTTCAGCAATGCAGCCTCATGGACATCAGCCTCACGGGCCCGCCAGGTATGTATTTGCCAGTGCCTCGTCGGATCTCCACCCTGCGAGGATCCATGACTAGGCCTGGTTGTAGGTCCTAAGTGCCAGCGGCGTCCCCAGCGTGCTGCAATCTGCTGGAAATTGGTACTGCCAGGTAGCCGCAGGTTCCTCCAGGCATTTCCCATGGTTTCTCAGGCTCTGTTGGGCTCAGGGAGCATGAAAGTTGCCTTTTTTAGTGGTACGATGCAGGAAGCGAAGATTGCCTCAGCTCAGCAGCCTGGCACCGCCCCTGAGAAGAGTGAATTTGTGGTGAAACTTAAGATATAATGTGTGACATTGAACTACAAAAACAAAAAAAATTATATATGTCAAAACTATGATATATTTTCATGCCAGACCAGGCCTTCTAGAATATATGCTAAATGCCTTACATTTGCTTATTAATAGAGTGACAGGACCGAGGTAGAAATGTGTTCAGACAAATGTAAAGTGGCAGCTCTTGTCAAGTGTGATATACTATAAATATCCGTATTTCTTGTAACATTGTTTAACTCCCCACAGACATTCAAAATGAGACATAAGTAAAATAACGGCATTTTAAACGCTTATAAAACTTTGACATTCACAATATACGCTGACACTAATAAATCAAGGTACAAGTTTTTAATGTATTTCCTTAATTACTATACAGCTGTCTTAGGCCATGCTGAAAATTTTAAATTAAACTATTTATTTGAATTGATCAGTGTGTATTCACTGGTCATAATAATTATAATACATGCATCCCCTCAGTCTTATGCAAGCGATTGTTTTATCCCAAAAGTGGACCTGATAACATATTTGTCATATTGGTCTTTGTCTTGTTTCTGTAGAAACAACTAAAATTCAATTTAAAAAAAATCTCAAAATAAACTATAAAACTTAAGCAAAAATTGTATCTTCCTGGGAACTCCAAGTAGCAAAACCCTTAAATAAACCTCTGGTTAATAAAATGCCCATTCCCACCTTGTTTGTATTCCATGTTATAACCTTTCCTCTATGTTGTCAGGCCAAGTTAGACATAACTGGACTAAAGACACCAGATCAAGACCATTAACTTGCCATCTATGCAAGGTTTACATTTATTTTGCGATCCTACGTAACATTGTGAAGGAATTACAGTTCTACAGGTCCATGTTGCATTTTAAATTAAATGACCATTGGGCTTCAGGTGCTTAGGTTTTGCTCTTATTTTAAATGTACTATTTGGATTCAGAACTCTTACAGATAATGGAATGACACTCTACTCCTTAATGTTAACTTTGGGTAGAGCTGGACATAGTTCACATTGTTACCTAACATAAAGCCCAGATTGATAGGTTTATTTTGCTGTTTTTGTCCACCCCACTAACAGGACAACACAGGTGTTGATGTACATTCCAACCAAACACATCCTCTTTTTTTCTGCTTCTTTTCTTGTTTAGTGGGGTTATTTCAGATCTGTGCTCCACACCACCTTTTGTTGATGCTACTTAATTTCTCCCATTCTCCCATTATGATGTGTACAACTTATTGAGAAAATAATACATGTTTGATACGTTTGAGCATGGTTTTGGCTTTCCCTCATTGTTGTGTCTGATTATGTGTCCCTGACCTTGGCAAGTATTTTGACTATTCTTGGAGACGTTAAGTCCGGCCATTCTAAGGTCTGGTTATACGTTATCCTTAGTCCTAGGTGTGATACAGTACTGCGTGCTGGATCAACTTGTAATCCTGACACACCCTCACTTCCCCCACACTGTCATCCTCACCTTTTCCCCCACTGTCACCCTCACCTTTTCCCCCACTGTCACCCTCACCTCCCCCCCCACTGTAACCCTCACCTCCCTCCCACACTCTCACCCTCACCTCCCTCCCACACTCTCACTCTCACCTCCCTCCCACACTCTCACCCTCACCTCCCTCCCACCCTCACCATCCCCCACACTCTCACCCTCACCATTCCCCACACCGTCATCCTCACTTCCCCCCCCCCAATGTCAGCCTCATCTCCTCCCTTCACTGTCACCCTTTCTTGCCCTCCACAATACCAATACCACCCTCTTCTCCCTCATACTGTCCCCCTCACCTTCCTCACACTCCTGTTTCTGTGTCCTTTTGTGTCTGTCTGTGTATTGTATGTCAGTGTGTATGAGTGTCTGTGTATCTGTGTATCTGTGTCAGTGTGTGTAACGTGTCATTGTGTGTGTCTGCATGTGTATTGCTGTGTCAGTCTGAGTATGTGTGTGTCTGTGTATTTGCATGTATGTGTCTCTGTATCTGTGTGTGTATGTGTTTCAGTGTGTGTATACACTACACACAAATGCACTAAACCTACATGCACACCTATATACACTGCTCACCTACATTCAAACACCTACATTTACACACATATGTCGTACAAAAACATGCTTACATTCAAACGCTCAAACACTGCTCACAAATACAACCCTGCAACAGTGGGCAAATGGTAGATTCCCAGCTGGCATAGCATTGTTGGAGTTCTCCGACAGATGAGGATCTACCACTGGTATACTCAACGTGAAAAAGAGAGGGACACAGCACTTTTGAGCCTGTGAGTATCAAGTTTATGCCTCTAAACTGCCATGTCATGCCAAAATTATTCCTCAAAACTGCCACGATGTGCCAGAATTATGCCTCTAAAACTGCCATGATATACCAAAATGATGTCTCTAAATCTTCTATGACATGCCACGTTTATGCATCTAAAACTGGTTGCCATAAGTGCCAAGTTTAGACATATAAAACTGATTGCCTTGATGTGCCAATTATATGCCTTTAAAACCGATTGGCATGGTGTGATTTGACCCATCTATAGCGGATTGACATGGTGTGCCAAATGTATGCCTCTAAAGCATATTGCCATGGTGTGCCAATTGTATTCCTCTAAAATGGATTGCCATGGTGTGCCAATTGTATGCCTCTAAAACTGATTGCCATGGTGTGCCAATTTTATGCATCTAAAGCTGACATGATGTGCCAATTTTATGCATCTAAAACTGGTTGCCATGGTGTGCCAATTGTATGCCTCTAAAGCTGATTACCCTGGTGTGAAAATTGTATGCCTCTAAAACTGATTGCCATGGTGTGCCAATGTTATGCCTCTAGAACTGCTTGCCATGGTGTGCCAATTTTATGCATCTAAAGCTGTCAACATGTGGTAATTTATGCATCTAAAAATAATTGCTGTTCTGTGCCAATTTTATGCCTCTAAAGCTAATTTCCATGGTGTGCCAGTTCTATGCCTCTAAAACCGATTACCATGATGTGCCAATTTTATGCATCTAAAACGGATTGGCATGGTGTTAATTTATGCCTCTAAAGCAGATTGCCATGATGTGCCAATTTGTGCCTTCAATGCTGCCATGGTGTGCCAGGTTTACTCATTTTGAAAATATGCATTAAAATAAAAGCGAGTGGATCTCAAAAATATTATCGTTTTCAAAAGTGGGTCTCGGCCCGTTAAAATTTGGGAAGCCCTGCGTTAGAGGTTAGAGTTTATTTCTGATCCTTTGACAACCAATCCATCCTTTAAGTATTCTGTGGTTTCAGTATATGGTGTGGCTCTATAACGTGGAAGAATTAACACACTGCATTGGCAAAAGAATAGACACATTCATGCTGGCATAGCTTTTTAGTTTTAGCTGTGACATATTAGGTCCTTGTAGCAGATAGTACGTACCCACCACTTATGATGTGGTTCCTGCTATAGTGTGAGAACTGGAACATTAGGGTCTATGTACACTGGGGCTTAACATTTGTTCCAGTCCCCCCACACTTTGGTTTTTCACCATCCCCTGGTCATGATCTTTTGCTTGTGAGAATATTTTTCTATTAAACAACAAAAACTAATTTAAAAAAAATAAAATAGCCTGATAATTTATCTTTTTTTTCCTTGACTGACCCTTGTAAACACTTTAGAAAAAAAACAAAACATTTGCTAGTTTTAGGACTAAGCATAAAGCCCTGGACGGAGTTTAGCTATGCAATGCTCTCAAGATACTTTTTACAAGCATTTCCCTGAACTTCATTCCTGAGACATTTGGAATGAGATGCTTGAAAATTGCCTCTTATACCAACCATGCATTGGCAGAATAGCGTTACATTAAAACAGATCCAAAGAACTAAGGGTTTATTTCTAATGTGGCCATTATCTGTGATAAGACTACTATTAACAGAATAGTTTCCTACAAGTATTTTGGAGTAGTTTTATAACGCTTAATTTAACCAATGAAATATGGAATCTGTTTTGGCAACCAGTTATTAAAGAGACACTATAGTCACTAAAACAACTTTAGTTTAATTAAGCAGTTTTGGTGTTTTCCCTGCTATTTAGGAGTTAAATCACTTTGTTTATATAGCCCTAGGCACACCTTCCTGCATGTGACTTACACAGCCTTCCTAAACACTTCCTGTAAAGAGTCATCTAATGTTTACACGTCCTTCATTGCTTATTCAATTTAATATAGAATGTCTTATCTTTTGCTCTGTTAATAGCTTCCTAGAACCTGCAGGCACCTCCTGTATGTAATTTATGTTAAATTTACAAACCAAGAAATAAAAAATGTTTAACCCCTTAAGGACCAAACTTCTGGAATAAAAGGGAATCATGACATGTCACACATGTCATGTGTCCTTAAGGGGTTAAAGTAAGCTACATTTGATTGAAAATGAAACCATTTTGTTTTCACGCAGACTGTAACGTCACAGCCAGGGGAGGTGTAGCTAGGATGGCATAAACAGAAACAAAGTGATTTAACTCCTAAATGGTAGTAAATTGAGCAGTAAAACTTGATCTGTACACACACTGCTTCATTAAGTTGTTTTGGTGGCTATAGTGCTTTTTTTTTTTTTTTTTTTTTTTCTTGTGCATGTAAC